GCGATCAAGAACTAAAGATCCCAGCTGGGATCATCTGCCCTGTTACACAAGTACGCACACACGCACGCACAAACAAGCAAGCACAGTTGGACATATATATGTATATGTATGTGCATTATTTCTATAGATAGTAGGAAATCTAAAAATATGGGAAACTGTGCAAATACAGGAAGAATAGGTGAACTCATGAGACTGAAAAAAAATCTGATACAGGTAGGGAAGACAGGGAGTAGCTGGGCTTTTGAAATGAGGCGAATGTTTTGCCAGTCCTTTGGTGAGACAGCTCAAACAGGTTAAAGGTCATTGGCTTTGACTCTGCTTGTAAAACACCAAGTAGAGAAAGTTGATCTAGTGATGGTAACATATCAAGCAAGATGCATGACATGAGCAGTGACCAATAAAGAAAAGAGTGTATTCTTTGATAAAGTAAACATTATCATCATCTCAGGGAGCTTTTCCTTGCCACCGTCGCCTTCGGCTTGCTCATTAGGGAAAAATTCATATATTTAAAATGTATATCCTGGATGTATAGATTTCCGTAAAGCTGCTTCGTGACAATGTCGATTGTTACCGAATTGTTCATGGAATTGAATTGAATTATGGAGACATTAAGCTGAAAACACATGAAAGACAACCTGAAGGACAGTGTTTTTCTCAGAGTCAAGACACCATATTTTGAAACAGCTGAAGCCATCTGTTCAAATACTCCGGTTATACAAGGTTCACCGTTGCTGGAGGGCTGACCTCCTGCTCAACCTTCTGCACCCAAATGACCCCCCGAGGTCATATTTCCAACACCGTGTTTTCCATCGTTCTCTCCTTAGGGAGAAATTCCTTCACCACAGGAGAGTAGAAGTCCCAGTTCAGAGCGAGTGCAACTTCAGCGGGTCACTGAGTACTACAAATATCCAAAAAAAAAAAAAAAGTGACAGAGCGATTACCATGGTTCAGCTGATGTTGATAATACAGGGCGTCCCAAAAATCTCCAGACATAGGGGAAATGAACCCCTTTTTTTTTTTTTTTTAGCAAACTTTATTTACAAAACATCCATTACGTGATTGCCATTTCTTTAACTCGTGTTAACACATCTGGTGTTAAGCGTGTAATTGCATTATTGTCCATCGCAACCTTGTGACAGCTTCATGATTCGGCCGTGAGAATGATTTCAATACGTTCTTCAATACGTATTTCAATACGTTCTTCTTTTGTCAAAGTCTACAAATGTATGTAGACTTTTTCGACACCCGGTATAATAATGTGAGCTTAATAAGAAGGTTTTCAGAATGCTCAAAAAAAAAAAACAGAGGAAAGAACTCAATGCAACAAATCTTAAAATAGCTGCCTTCTTTGTCTCAAAACTGAAATTTCGATGCCTGGCTGAAGCAGCCAGTTCATCATATCCGCATTAGACGTCAGTCTTTCTTAGACCACCATCTGCTTTAGGCCCTCAGAGTTCCCTAAACATCATTCAGGAGGTAAATAAGAGGGGCTTCATTCTCCTCCAGTGGGATTAGATAAAGTTGTGTGGACAAAGCTCTTAAAGGGCCCATTATGCAATCCCTGTGAGGTGAAAGTAATTCAGCCAAAGACACTAAGCTTAGGCTTCTCATCCTGGAAGTGGTGGGCCACATTTCTGCACCTTCATTGGTTCATAGCCTCTGAAAACAAAGTAGTTGTTTGATGAATAACTTGCAAGGACAACTGGGCTTGGAAGGGCAACGTTGAGTTAGCATTAGGTTGCCGGGTTAGGAAAGAGGGCAATGTGGGGGTCACGTCAAATCAATCAAAAATGGTCTTGATGTATTTGTGTTGCTGCAGGTTTGGAGTTAGATCGAGCTAATTCTGCAGCCGAGTAATTGATCTGCAGGTTTAAATATATACACAAGAGAGTCAAACTCAAACGTGAAACTGGTACTTAAATGATCCCCTAGACAAAAAAGACACAGTTAACAATGCCAAGGTCGAAAAAACCTTGTAGCCAAGACTGTCTCAGAATAGACCAGAGGTGTTAACCTCAAATTCTATCCGAGCCACATCAGCATTTTTGTGAGACCGTGAGGGCCATAACGTAAGACTATTCGTTTTTTAAAACATTATCTATC